CAAATATCTATTTTGCCAGCCTTTTCTAAAGTCCTCTAAATGGTTCTACCATTTAAACTAACTCCAACATTTTTTTGAAAAACATGGTATTTTTACATCAAAACAGTATGGCTTTTGAAAAGGACCAAGCACCATTGATGTTGTATTATCTCTTGTTAATTATGTAAAACAACGTTTTGAACAGAAGCAATCGTGCTGTGCATTTTTACTGACTTAACGTCTGCATTTAAGTGTGTTGATCATAATATTTTATTAATCAAGATAGAACACTATGTTGTAATGTAAAAATCTTTAGAAATGTTTACTTCATATGTATCAGAAGGCACTCAACATGAACACAAAAAAATCATCAGTTTAGTTAAGAAGGCAAAATATTACGAGAAGTCCCACAGGGATCAATACTTGGTCTTATTTTGTTTCTGGTCTGTATCAATAACCTAGCGATCAATATGCCACAAACAAATGTTATTATAAGGTACAATAGATGACACTTCGTTCTGTGTTAATGTAGACAAGCAGTAAAATAACAACCAAATATCTCAGAACTGCAGCTAATAAAAGTTCTAAACAAAAAAACAAAGATCCTGCAGAGTGAACACACATAACGAAATAAAAGTTTTGGGACTTTATTTAGACAATAGACTCTCTTCAAATGTACATATTGAATATATTTGCAATAAACTAGCTTGCTTTGTTTATGCGATACGCAAAATTAAATAAGTATACGAAATATTCTTGAGGCAAACCATTTGCGTCTTAACTTAAAAATTAGACGCAAATGGTGCGCCTCAAGAATATTTTGTATATTTGAGTAAGTCATATAATATAATTTAAATATAATTACACAATTTTTAGAGTTTTCTTCTAATCATGAATTCATTTTTATTGTATGGATATTTACTTTTATGCACATTTACTGTTAACAACTTTTGATTAGATGTCCTAGGGAACTTTTTACGTAATGCAAATAAATGTATCAATACAGATTCATGTTACATTATTAATCATTAAGTTGCAATGATTTTTCTGATTAATATTTTTGATCGAAATTTGCATGTAAATGATGTAATCTAGTCATAACTTTGAGGAGACAACACTTTAAAATTTGCAACTAAATAGGGAGTTTCCACTGAGATTTTCAAACCAAAAATTATTATGATAATTTTCCAATTTCAATTCGTCGAAATGTAAATGCGAATTCACACGAAAACTGTTAGTGTTTTCGCTGTTTGGAAAAAAGCTGCAGCAGTAAAAGTCTCGGCTATAAATAATGAATGAAGCTTGAGGGAGACATAAAACAAGGTCCAGGTTAATCGTTTAATATTCCACAGCAATAAAAGCTCCACGTTCCAACGATAAGCTTTTATGTTGAAGATGTTCTTGGTATGTTTTATTCTTGCCAATAATAAATTGTTTGAGTTCAATTGTTTTAATTCACTAGAAAAAGAAAACGTATGTTAATAAAAAACTGAACCGATTCAGAACTGTTACATTTCGTTCAGCTTATTTATATGCAAGACCCGCCTAGACCGTGTACCAATCAAACTGGCCATACACATACACCCACGGCAAACTATGATTTATTGGATTCGTTAACGGATTTATAAGGCAACTCTGATTAACTGATTTGAAAAGGAAACGCAGCATTTACCATATATTAGGGTGATTGAGTGATCGTATATTGGTCAGGTGGCCCACACATTCGTCATCTTTGGATAATATACTTCAATAATTTGTCGAAACGATTTATGCTTAATTCTTATTTTCTATAGAAATATGCTTCTGTTCATCACCTTCGAGTAGGACATTTGAGGAGTTGTGGCACACTAGTACGACACTACCTACGCTATCTGCCAAATATTAAAACACATGAAACACTGGTATTTTCGTCTTATGTTCTTGTTTCATGGCTGTTTGACTGTATCATACATTTTTCATGGATCATCAGGTGACAGAATAAAATATTTCTTTTTTTTTTAATTTGTATTCAATAAATTTGTTAGTCTTTAAGTTATGGTACGTGGTCCCACGGAACCCCAATTTCACTTCTTTTTGTACAAGATTCTTAAAAATTTTTTTCTGGAAAACTTTCTTTCGTGACTTTTATAATTTTTTACGACGAATGCTACAATATACTTGTTCGCAGATAATGAGCTTCACTTTTTATTAAATTAATTTTTTTATGGGGTCCTCGAAAGATCCCGCTCCGTACTTTATGTGATCCAATATTTTAGTTATACCGTAACTTCACATTTAATGCATTCTTTACGTTTGTTGTGTTGCGCGACTTTTATTAATATACCGATTTTGACGGTAAAAATATTGTTTTTGATCCTAAGACAAGTAAGTTTTTATAGTCATACATTACTCGTACATATAATTTTATGTGGTATTTATTTAATTTTAGCTTTGAAAAATGTGTCGTTATTCAAAAACGTCTCAGCGAGAACTAGACCAAAAAAGTACCGCATCGGAGTGACATTGATGATGATGAATATGTCGATTCAGATCACGAGGGAGATTCATATTTTGACAATAACTTTTTAGAAACTGAAAGTATTTGTTCAGAAGTAGAAGATGGTGATGAAATTCAACAAGAAGAGAATAATTCAGAGCCAGACATAATTCTGAATCAGAAAGAAGTACAAGAAAACAATTTGTTTTTAGAAGAGGGACAAAGTCAAAGGAACACAATGAAATCCAAATCTGGTTTATTGTGGTCATCTAGACCTACAAGAAGCGTATGTGATCGTCGTTCTACTACCAATTTTGTTCCAGGAACAGGGGGATTAACAGCTCATTCAAATATTGATGGTGGGTTCAAACTATGGTTATAGGTGTGGTGAGAGGGTTATTTCAAGATGGCCGACTCAAATTACAACTTATTTATTCACAGTTTTTGATTCTTATCGGTCTGGTGTCCGGAAGGCGACATCGAGCCGATGGCTCACCAGTCTCGTCCTACTCCATCCCCAACTCCCTCAATCGCGGCGCCAATTATGAAAGTTAGTTATAATGATCAAAACTAGGTGGCGCCACAGAAACCCCTCTCACGTAAACCCTCTTCAGTGAGAGAGCTCCGAACGAATGATACAGTACAAAATGAACTTAAAGATGTACAATACTTTTATAAAAAAAATATTCAATTTTATATTGTGCCTGGCGAATGCCGATTAAATCGAAGTGGCGCACGGGAAACTTCACTCTGCGCCCTGATCGAGTTGTGTAATTATTGCGGATGCATATGCGAATCGTCATCGGAATTTTCGTCTTTTCCAGTTGTCGCCTTCGTAGTGTTACTGGTTCCTGGTTTGCTAGACCTCAACTGGGCTGTCATTTCTAACCTAGTTGTGACTACTACTTTTGGATGAGATTGGATTGGTTTCATCCACCTCCAGGTGGGCCGGTTTTAACCTATCAATAGAAATTGACTGTAACCTACCCTTAATTAATACCTGGAAATGTTTGTCGCCAGTTTACAGAACTTGGTATGGTCCGTTGCATGGAGCTTGTAGTGGCTTTTTTACGGACTCCACACGAATGAAAACAAATTTTGCTGTTTCCAAATTTTTAGGGACGTAAACATGATGTTCTGCATGGTTGGACGTCTTTGTAAACTGAATAAACTGCATTCGATGCTTGAGCGTTGTAGCAAAATCAGGGACTGCTCCCTGTGATTTAGGTAGTTAAACTTCGACTAGATCGGATGGTAATTTCAATGTGCAACCATAAATAAGTTCGGCTGCAGTTGAACCTATGTCCGCCTTGATCTCGTTTCGTATGCCTAACAGCACTAGTGGAAGTGCTTTAGTCCACTAGGTATTGTGACATCTAAGAGCTGCTTTCAGACGTCGGTGCAGTCTTTCCACTAAGCCATTGCTCATGGGATGATATGCTGTGGTTCGGATTCTTTGTGTTCCTGTCAGTATCCGAAGATTTGGAAAGAGTTGTGACTCAGATTGGGTGCCCCGATCAGTGGTAATTTGTGTTGGTCCACCAAATCGAGCAATCCATGTATTCACCAATGCTTCTACGCAGGTCTCGGCAGTAATGTCTGGAATTGGTACTGCCTCTGGCCACCTGGTAAAACGGTCAACTATAGTGAGGAGATATTGTTTACCTGCAGATTGTGGCAAAGGGCCAACAATTCAATATGTATGTGAGAGAACCTCCCATCAGGAGCGGAAAATGTCCCAAGTTGTGCTTTAATATGCCTGTGCACCTTTGATTTCTGACATGGAACGCACGAGGGAGCCCATACCGATGCGTCTTTGTTAATATTTGGCCAGAAATACTTTTGAGTTAGTAACTTCCTTCTTGCTTTCACACCAGGGTGCGCTAGATTGTGGACAGTGTCAAAAACATTTCTTCTGAAGGAGAGCGGTACATATAGTCTGTTTCCATTAGTTGTCTCATACCATAACTCATGATTTGAGGTTTAACAGGGGTGCTGGCAATTTGCTGAAATTTAATTTTGAGTTGTTGAATAAAGTCTGCAGCTGTTGATCAGTCTCTTGTGCTTCGGCCGTGGATTCGGCTGTGAAAACGGTTTTGGTCACTGCCGATATTCTCGAAAGAGCGTCTGCAGGTCCATTGTGCGCCCCTTCTACGTATCGAATATCTGTGGAAAACTGGCCTATAAGATCTAAGTATCTTGCCTGCCTCGGAGTGCACTTTTCAGGGTTTTGATTAAAAGCAAACGTAAGAGGCTTGTGATCCGTGAAGATGCTGAATTTGCGGCCATCTAAAAACTATTTAAAGTAAATTATTGCTCGGTAGATACCCAAGAGTTCTTGGTCATAAACTGAATATTTCTTTTCAGCTTGGCTGAGCTTTGTAGAAAAGAAAGCAGTTGGCTTCGGAACCCCATTTTTCACTTGCTGTAAAACTGCATCAATGGGTACATCTGAGGCGTCCGTGTACAAGCTGATTTCTGCTGACGTGTTAGGATAAGTTAACAAACATCTTTTTTGCATTTGTGGAAAGCTTGCAGGGCGGCTTCACTTAGCTGTATGTTGGCGTTCTTTCGAGTGCATCTTTTTATAGTAGTTGACCATCCCTAAAAATCTCTGAAGTTGTTTCGACTTGTTGGGAATAGGGAAATTTTTGACCGCTTCCACTTTTGAGGGTAAAGGAGCTGAGATTCGCAACCCTAGGAAATCTATATATTCATTAAGCCTTTGCAGGACCTGGATGATGTGATGGAGTTGTTCTGATTCCGAGGTGGAGAAAATTAGAATGTCATCCACATAAGCAAACACAAAATCTAACCCGAAAAGTACATACCTGATTTAAAAACCTCTGAAACGTTTTAGTGGCATTTCGTAAACCAAATGGCTATTAAATTCAAACAGACCAAATGGGGTTGTTATTGCCGTTTTTGGTATAGGTATTTGGTAGTAAGCTTTCACAAGATCCAATGAGGTGAATATGGTTTTTCCCTGCAAGTTGTGACTGAAGTCATGAGTATGTGGTATTGGGTACCTGTCAGGGAGAGTCACTGCGTTCAGTCCTCTGTAGTCTCCGCATGGTCCAAGTCGTGTCAGATTTCGGAACCATGTGGAGAGGACTGGACCATTCCGATGAGGACGGTTGAATATTCTGGCCTCCAGCATGTGCTCAAATTCCTTCTTAGCAATTTGAAGCTTGTCTTGGGCAAGGTGTTGCAGTTTGGTGTGCACTGGGGAACAATTTGTCGTAATATAGTGCACTACATTATGGCGAGGTTCGCGCGGTGAAGTGGGTTTCAAAACTTCCGGAAACTAACGCAATATTTGCTCATATTTTTTACCCGCGTTTCGGAAAATTGCCCAGATGCCCGAAGTTTCACTGTTTTTCAAACTGCAGTTCACTTGCAATGTTGTTAACGGGTCGATTAGTTTTTTGTTTCGCACATCCATTTGTAAACCAAAATGGTTTAACAGGTCCGCACCGATAATGGCGTCTGTCACGTTACCAACTAAGAATAACAACCACTGAAAGTTTCTTCTGCGTCCTATGTTGAGTTTTAGGGTCAAGTAGCCATAAGTTTTGAGCTGTGTACCGTTTGCCGTTTCTAACTCGATAGACGGTGATGGTTGGCGCGAAATATTGACTTTAAATTTTGCGGGCAGTATGCTTACATCACTCCCGGTGTCGACGAGGAAATGTATTTTTGAGTCCCGGTCGACCACAAATAATCGGCGTGATAACTTGGCTGCAGAAAGTGCCGCTACTTTTAAAGCCTTGAGGGTTTTTTTTGGGCCTTGCATGGCGCGACACATTTGTTGCTAGCGGTTGTTTGAAACGTTGGATGTGCTCAGCAGCGGGTCCATTTTTTCGAGTAGGCTGCGTAGTATAGCGTCAGTGCCACTCTGAGCGGAGCTGGAAGTAGGTTCCGGCGTGGTCAACGCCGCAACTCTCATTGGTGGAATGGCTTCAATAATTTTGTCCGCTACTTCAGCCAATGCAGACAACGCAAAGGTACCTAACGATATCAGTATCGGACGTGCGTTTGTTGGCATTTGCTGGAGAAACAGCTGTCGAAGTACCGTGTCATTGAATTGTTTATTGTCGCCATCGCCGACCAGTGACAACATGTGGCGTAGCAACTGAGATGGTTTGCGATCCCCCACTTCCAGACCAGACAGCAATTGTTTTAATTTTTACGTTTCTGACAGCAAAACTCGGCTTATCACCGCTTCTTTTAGTCTGGAATAAGGTGCTGTTTTATCCGGCTTACTTATAACTTCATAGACTTCTGCGGCAACTTCTGGAGAGAGCGCTGACAAAGCGTAATTGAACTTGAACTTCGTTTGTTCGTGGGTGATGTTGCAAAGTTGGAACTTGGCTTCAATAGCGAGAAACCATACGTCTGGTCTGGCACAATAAAATGGTGGTAAGACGCATGCAACATCTTCAACATTCTTGTCCCCGGTTTAAAAGGGTGGCACCAAATCGTCGTTGGGTTTTAGAGTCATCTCGGAAAAAAATGTGTCACCACGTGCGAAACCACAATCGCAAATTTACTGACGTTTTGTACTCACGTATGTATGGGTCACCAATATGGTTATAGGTGTGGTGACAAGGGTTATTTCAAGATGGCCGACTCAAATAACAACTTATTTATTCACAGTCTCTGGTAAGTATGTCTTATCAGTCTGGTTTTGATTCTTATCGGTCTGGTGTCCGGAAGGCGAGAGCGAGCCGATGGTTTACAGTCTCGTCCTACTCCATCCCCAACTCCCTCAATCGTGGGGGTGGTGGCGCCAATTATGAAAGTTAGTTATAATGATCAAAACTAGGTGGCGCCACAAAACTTTTAATTTGTTATTTAGTAATGCCAAAGAAAAGTACTTGCGAATATACCAACCAAGAAGCAAACCATGTTTATAATCTGTACAAAGAAAAACATCCTGAAACAGTGAAGTACTGGAAAGAACTTTCAAAAACTGACTTACCTGCGTTTCTTGGAGTAATTGTCAACGAGTTCTTCAATAATATTAAAAAAATAATAATAATTATCAGGAAATTGGGATTGAGATTCGATTATCGTATTTTTTATAAAAAAATGGTTAATTATCTTCCAGGCGTTATATGCATATCCTCCACACTTTTCAGCATATTTGAACCATAGACTTGTTTTGTAACATGTTGAATCGCTACATTGGATTTACTACGAAGTTGTTTGATGTCAGTCAAAAGTTGAGGATTATTTGTTTTGTTATTATCCCCACCAATAACTTGATTGTTATTTCAGAGAATTCTATTTTAAAATGATTTCAATGTTATACAATAATAAACTCACATACCTACCTACTTGTGGTCTACAAGTCCGCTTTGAGTTTTTTCCTTAAACGGCCAAATGTTCATAAAAAAATTAACACAGCATAATAACATGTTACCGCTAACTCAGGATATAAGCGACTATGGCCAACTGGTTAAGGGGTCATGACGCGGACCGAAAGTTCCAAGTTCGAAGCAAAACTTCGCCGTTGCTTTTTTTCTCTTTTTTTCTCGCGCTATGAATTATCATCAATGTTTATGACGTCATAATTTGTTTTATTATTTTTTTATTATTTATATTATTTCTCGAAAAGGTGAGAATACGCACGTCTTTATTTAATAAGAATTATAATATTAATATTCAGAACATTCGCTTCGACTGTAGCTTAATTAAGAATTTTAATCCTCTATTTTGAGACGACAAACTCAAATCAAACAAATTTATACGTGACATTCTTCCGATGTATAAACACTTGATGCTACAGCTTGTTATTGCCGATAGACTGTTTTCTTTTTATAACTTTAATTTAGAATATTCGAAACAAACTTCTAATACATTAGAGTTTAATCATGATGAAAATCCATCCAGACGTTGGAACCAAAAATAAGAAGACTGTCTCTAAAATGAAAATTATTTCGTTGATTAACAAGTTGAATAAAAAAGGGCGGAGCATTGTGTCAGGAGATATTTTTGGTACATTTCGTTGTTAAATATTATTGTTTTTCATTAATAAGGTAGTTTACATTAAAATCATTTTAAGCGAAACTCAGTGATACCTTAGCAAAGGACTTACTAAGCTGCAGGACTAACAAAAAAAACTGATACTGTAAATAGGTAAAGATAAAAGGATCATTAATGAAATGAATTTTGCATAATAAGCGTAAGTTTACTTATAAACCCATGCTTCGAAAAATTCTACTAGTTATAAGATAATAATAGATAATTTCAGTCTTCGCGACACACCAAAACTTAAGGTGTCGAGGAGATGACAAATGAGGTATATAGGCATATATTCCAGTTATGGTGTAAGTTTCATGAAAAAGCAAATAAGTGTGGAAAGGATAGAAGATTTCTCTTTTTCTATTATGTACTTGTATAACTTCGCATACTGTGAAAATTTTACTTGGCGATTCAGGAAATACATACAAATTAGAGATGTACCGACTGTAGATCTGGCCGACTAATCGACGAGCCGATTGTTCGGCCAGTAAAAACCGACTAGTCGGCCGACTGTTCGGCTTTGCTAAAACCGATTTATACATGCGACAGACGGTGTGTTTTTTTTTTCTATTTCCCCGACTACCTTAAAAATTTGTTTTATTTTAATAAAAGGAATAACTAAAGTTCCATTGTTTTCCAAAAAATGTATTAAATTTGTTTGGATAATTTTAACATTTATTTTTTTTGTAGTAACTCAGTACAAAAATAAAGGATAACACAATTTAGGGCCAGTTTATACAATATTTTAACTGAGATTAAGTTGATCGCGCATTTAATAAGGCCATTAGCGAAGTCTGATTGGCGTAGAGTCGGTCACATGGTACTTTAACGCGATGTTAAAAATTAAATCGCAATTAAATATTTAATAGAGGTTCTGTAAACCGGGTTTAATTGTTTTATATACTATTTTAATTTTAATAAAAAAAGCCGACCGATCGGCTGTTTTGCCGACTAGTCGCCGACTGCCAGCCGACGATGAAAAACGGCCGAATAGTCGGCTTATCCGACCGGTCGGCCACTAGTCGGTACATCCCTAATACAAATCGATCGGTAAAATTCCAATTACACATGAAATGTAATTTTAGGTCTTCGTGATGTAATATTACAATTGTGGGGTAAAATTTACCATGATAATTACATTATTGGTGTAAAATTACAAGAGTATGTAAATTTACATTAACAATAACAGTAGAAACGTTCCTTCGTATTTTTTATGTAATTTTGTCCAAAAATTGTTTACAGTGTAAATCTGTCACTCTAGATTTCTCACTTGCAGTACGTCTCTCATCTTTTAAAGCCTGACCACTACTGGTGCATGTCATAATATCTTTCGATATGGAATTCATCATCATCTCGGTGGCGCCTAAAGTGAACCAAAGTAGTTCTTTGCTTTAGTGTTGGCTGATTAGCTTATTGTAATAATTAGAGAGCGGATTTTATGAAATTTGCATATCTGTTATTTTTTGCATATAAGTCTTGATGTTTAATATGTGAACGAATCATGCTAATTAAAAATGAATACAGTTATAAAAAAATTGCATATTTGCATATATTTGCCTTCTGCTGCATATTTCACGTAACGGGTGCATATTTTACATTTTTATCAATTTTTGTGCTAATTTGAAAAATAAAATGATTGTCAATCTATCGGCATTTATTTAGAAAGCCGAAATTTCATGAATCATATTGCAAATATTGGCCTGAGCTTCCAATAACTAGTAAAGGTTTGGGTTTTATGGCAGTTTGGAGAAACCACTGGGTGTTAAATTCCAGTGTTCCAGGTAAATTCGGGCCCTAATTACTTTTGGAAATACAGTTCATTCCCAATATTTTTAATGTTACTTAAATGTATTAATGGTATGTTTTATGGTGGTCGAAGGGACGTTATCCTATTATTTTTCATCGTGAGTTTGCTTTGAAACCATTTAAAGTGATACATGTGTGTCAATATGTCGAAGATACCTCAAATTAATTTATGGATTAAACCTTTTCCTGAACTCAACAAGAAGGAACTCTGTTTTGTCGCGCCTGCTCTAAACTAGTAAGGATTTTTATATCTGTGGACGTAGTACGTAGTATTTACAAATATGGACATACTTTAGAATCACCGAAAAAACTTTCCGTTAGAATTTTTCGAAAAATATTTAAAAATAAATTGTTACCAAAGTAATAATTTAATAGTCGATTACTACTAAGTATTTTTCAATTTGTTCTGTTTATATTTATTTTTTAGTATAAGAATTAGGGATGTACCGACTAGTGGCCGACCGGTCGGATAAGCCGACTATTCGGCCGTTTTTCATCGTCGGCTGGCAGTCGGCGACTAGTCGGCAAAACAGCCGATCGGTCGGCTTTTTTTATTAAAATTAAAATAGTATATAAAACAATTAAACCCGGTTTACAAAACCTCTATTAAATATTTAATTGCGATTTAATTTTTAACATCGCGTTAAAGTACCATGTGACTGACTCTACGCCAATCAGACTTCGCTAATGGCCTTATTAAATGCGCGATCAACTTAATCTCAGTTAAAATATTGTATAAACTGGCCCTAAATTGTGTTATCCTTTATTTTTGTACTGAGTTACTACAAAAAAATTAAATGTTAAAATTATCCAAACAAATTTAATACATTTTTTGGAAAACAATGGAACTTTAGTTATTCCTTTTATTAAAATAAAACAAATTTTTAAGGTAGTCGGGGAAATAGAAAAAAAAAAAACACACCGTCTGTCGCATTTATAAACCGGTTTTAGCAAAGCCGAACAGTCGGCCGA